CGATCAAAGCACTCTGTTTATCTTTCTCCATACTGTATTTTCTCAGGTATTTCAATGTCTGTCAATTTACTTTTGTAGGTATATAGTTTTGCAGAATATCTATCTATAAAAAATAAGTGTTTTTTTAAATTACTTTGGTTTGGTTGTAACAGAAAAACATTGAAAAAGTTGTCATTCAATGATAAAGAAATTAATAGAATACGTTAATAAGAAGTTGGTAGGCAGTTCTTTTAGTTTCAAAGTAAAGGAATTTTTCCAATTTTTTTTATCTCAAAAACTGCGACTTTGACTGATTTTGATGTTATTATAAATTTTGTTGCAAATATTATTCCTAATCTTAAATTGAAAACCGCGTTTCGCTAGCTATTGTAATTTTGAAGTTACGATTTTTTTAAATTTTTAACCCCCTCCCATACCCCCCTACCAACCCCCCATCCCCTCCAAAAAACTAATGGCCAGATTCTGGGGTGCCACAGTATTTTTGTGTTATTATATATTTTGAGTTATCGTGTTACAGACAGACAGTGTAACGTAAGGTTCTGAAGACTGGTCAATAAAACAGCTATAAAACAGCGTCAATAAAACAGCTACTGCAATATTATCTTTTTTATTTTCCACGCTGATGTTTGTAAGTGTGGTTTAGTAATAGTTCTACAAAGTTCTAAAATAAATTATAATTAATAGGTAACCGAATTAAGGGTTGTAAATTAATTTCTTACCTAACACCAGGTTTATACCCCAAAATAATAAGAATATAATATATTTGGTAATAAGTCGAAAACCAAGGGCTGTTAACACTTGCAACGGTATAAATGAAATGGCGATCACCCGAATTCCATTACTTATTGCAAAAAAGCGAAATTTATAAATTGAACTACCTGGGCCATCTACAGGGTGTTTCAAAACAAATGCGAAAAACTTCAGGGGGTGACACCTTGTTCAAAATAAAGCGTAGTTTGCTTCATAAACGTTGGGTCAAAAGTCAACCATTAGGGAGATATCGCGGTACAAAGATGGCGGAAAAATAATGTTCTTATTTTTTATCTTAAAAACGAAAAGAGATAGACTAATGAAATTTTATGGAAGCATTACTGTTATGAAAACACACTTTCAGGTAATTTTTTTACTTTTTTAAAATGAGTGGAAGGGGTTGAAATAAACTACCCCTATCATTCTTGTTAACGAAATTTAAAGAAAAATCTTATCAAACACATGCAAATGCTTTAATTTGGATAGTCTAGTTTGTTTAGAAACTTTTTTACCTCTTGTGTTTTTTTGATAAAACTCACCGATTGGAAATTAAAAAATAAAATGTAAAGCATTACATGTCAGGACAAAAAACATTTTTAGATTAAGAATCTAGTGATAATAACATTAATAACGATAATAATAATCATCTAGATAATAACGTATTGCAGTAGAGTAATGGTCAAATAAAATAATATTAGGAATATCCTAAAAAGTAACAGCGGCCGACTAGATTTTTTCCTAAAAAAATTACAGCAGCCCACTAGATACTTTATCAGAAAATGTTTTTTGTCCTGACATGTAATGCTTTACATTTTATTTTTTAATTTCAAATCGGTGAGTTTTATCAAAAAAATACAAGAGATAAAAAAGTTTCTAAAGAAACTAAACTATCCAAATTAATTTTTTTGCATGTGTTTGATAAGATTTTTCTTTAAATTTCGTTAACAAGAATGATAGGGGTAGTTTATTTCAACCCCTTCCACTCATTTTAAAAAAGTGAAAAAATTACCAGAAAGTGTGTTTTCATAACAGTAATGCTTCCATAAAATTTTATTAGTCTATCTCTTTTCGTTTTCAAGATAAAAAATAAAAACATTATTTTTCCGCCATCTTTGTACCGCAATATCTCCCTAATGGTTGACTTTTGACCCAACGTTTATGAAGCAAACTACCCATTATTTTGAACAAGGAATCACCCCCTGAAGTTTTTCGCATTTGTTTTGAAACACCCTGTATATTTGTTTATAAGAATTTTAATATTATATTAAATTAATATATTATATTTAATATTTCCCACATATTTTATTAATTATGCTACAACAGACAGACAGACACCATGAAAATATTTTGTATTTAGGTCATTTATGACCCAAATAACTCATTTTGAGTGAAATTAAAAAAACTTTTTTTGCCGATCTTAATAGCCTACCATACCTGCTGGTATGGTCGGCTAAAAAGTTGTAAATGAAGGCTTATTTGATTAAGCTGCAATTTTCTAATGTTTGTTTCAAAGTTTTAAACAATAATACCGACATTTTTGATGAGAAACTGAAATTTCTTTAAAAACTAATTTTTTATATTCTCATCATGCAGCTTTAAAGAGGTGTCCTCTAACCTTATTACAGATAACTTTATTTAAATTTTATTTATTGATATCTTGCAGTAATGGTGATGAAGTTAATAATTATAATGTCTATCTGAAATATTTTTCTTAGTCTATACATATACCCGGGTGCGTCTCAAAAGTGGCTCCCCCCTATAACTTTTTTATTTTCTCAGATAAAAAAACGAGATTTGGTATGTTAGTATATGACATAAATTAGTATTGATTGACGTATTCAATTGTTTTCGGTCACTTCCTGTTTCACCGGAAATGACTACAACTTTTGATTTTTAAATAGCATCCTCAATATATTTCTCCTTTATTCGATAGAAAATTACACTCTGAATAGAATGACATATCATATGTCAACTTTTGACATTCTCGCTTGAAAAAAAAACTGTATTTTAAATTTCAATCTAGAATGCCATGGCTGTGTTAAAAACACTCATTTTTAATTCAGGAGCCTTGGAAAAATAGATTTGGTCGTGTAATGTTTTTAGTGTTTTGTCCTGGCCAGTTAAAGGATGCACAAATCGTATTTTTAATCTTTTATCTCAAATTTTTCAAATAGGTGGCTCATTAGCATATGTGGAAAAAGCATTTTTTACGAATAATTTGGTATCTCACACTTGGTATTTCGAGTCAAATTGTCGTTATGAACCGCATGATACAATTTCAAGTAAAGCATATGCGAAAATGTCAAATGTTGACATATGATATGTCATTTCTATCAGAGTGTCATTTTTTAAAGTAAAAAAATGCCGAAGGTGTCATTTAAAAATTAAAAGTTGTAGTAATTTCCAGGGAAACAAGAAGTGATCGGAAACAATTGAAAAAGTCAGTCAATCCAAATTTATGTCATAACTAACATACCAAATCCTGTTATAGGGTAAGGTATAGGGGTGAGCCACTTTTTAGATGCACCCGATATATTTCTTGTTTATGGGTATATATACTTAGGTGAAAGAAAAACAAAAAAACTCACTCCTACTTCTTAGAAAAAAACTAATTATAAATAATTTCTTGATTTTTTTCGTTCCGATTTTTCAAAAAATGTCATTATTGAATAACATTTTTCTTCTTACACTTCGACATTCTTCTCCCTTTTTACTTACAACTCATACGGTCCTCCATCAAGTAGAAGCATGAAGAGCAACAGATAGCCACCGTTTCGTTCCCATCCTCCTTACTCTCTTTCAACTCCGCTCCGCACACACAATCCCTAATTCCGCAGAGCAGAAAGGTCCCCTAAAGGGCCCACAATGGGACCCCCGGGGTTAACGAACGCCTCTAGTGGTGCATCGGCGGTGAATTTCGGCCAGCTGATGCGGGATGGTCGGTCTCTGGCAGTGGCGGCACGTCAGAGAAGGACAGAGAAAAAATACATACGAAAAAAAAATTGACCTAAAGTTCAAACTTTATCATCATCATCATCATCACGTAGCCCCCTTTCACGTCCATAGTTGAACATAGGCCTCGCCCAAACGTCTCCAGTTCTCGCGGTTTTTAGCTGTTGCAATCCAGTTAGTTGTTATTCGTTTCAGGTCGTCGGTCCATCGGGTGGGAGGTCTGCCTTGGCTACGCTTGTCGGCTCTTGGTCTCCACTCTATAAGTCTTTTGGTCCATCTCCCGTGTGCCATTCTAGCAATGTGTCCAGCCCATCCCCACTTTTTGTGATTCGCTGGATAATGTCATCCACTCCCGTACGTCGGCGTATCTCTTCATTTCTTACTCGATCTCTCAAAGTCAGGCCAATCATAGATCTCTCCATCCGCCTCTGTGTCACTCTCAATTTTTCTGCGGTTGCTTTTGTTGGAGTGAGTGTCTCTGCACCATAGGTCAAAACTGGGAGGATACATTGGTTAAATGCCTTTCTTTTCAGGTGTATTGGGATATTTGCTCTAAAGATGCCCCTCATTTTTCTGTAAGCCGCCCATACCAAGGTAATTCGTCTAGCCAGTTCACAGGTTTGGTTATCTCTGCTTATTTTGATCTCATGGCCCAAGTATACATATTTGTGGACTAATTCTATTCTGTTGTTGTGAATTTGTATGTGTTCGCTGGGCACCATATTAGTCATTATCTTAGTCTTGTCAAAATCTATTGTTAGTCCAATCTCGTGTAATGCATCGTTAAGTTCTTGAAGCATGTCTTTGATCTCTCCCAGACTATTTGACACTATAACGATATCATCCGCAAAGCGTAGGTGGTTGAGTCTCTCTCCATCGATAACTATTCCTTTTTGTTGCCAAGCCAGCATTTTGAATGCATGCTCAAGAACAGTAATAAACAATTTTTTGTATTGTTTTGTATTATCTTTTGTTTGTTTGTTTGTGTACCTTGTTTTTTTACTTTGTTTGTTAGTTTACCTTTGTCTACAAATTGAAAAAATTTTTGACAATAAAAGCATTTATTTTATTTATTTATCTATTTATTTTTATCTGGTTAGTTGTGGAATGTAGATTTACAGTTGTTGTAGCATTGTCATATTTGTTTTTTATTATGTTACAATATCGATGGTCGACTCTACATTCTTGTAGCGCTGTTAGGATGGCCGGTAATTCTACCGTATCGAACGCTTTTTTAAAATCGACAAATATCAGTGCTAGGGGACGATTGTATTCGATGGTTTTTTCTATTAAGGTTTTTAAACACTGCAGATGATCATTGGTCCAAATTCGGAACGGAAACCAGCTTGCTCTTTAGGTTGGTAGAAGTCCAATTTTGCAAGTTTATAAAGATGGTTAAGAAGGCTAATTGGTCTGTAATTTTCCAGGTCTGCTATGTCTCCTTTTTTATCTAAGAGGATAATTATTGAGTTATTCCACTTTGTAGGGATATTTTGATTTTCCAAACAAAGATTGAACAGCCGTTGAATATTGGTCATTAATACTGTTTCTCCCATCTTTATCGCTTCTGTGACGACACCACCATCCCCCGGAGCTTTATTGTTCTTCATCTTTTTTAGAGCATTGTAAATTTCACTTACAGAGATTTCCGGAACATCCTCAGAACCCTGATTTTGAACCTTTCCTTGTAGGTACTTCCTCGAGTCTAGAGTAGAATGGTTGGTGTATAGTGTTTCATAGAATGTTTCCACAATCTGTAATAAATGTTCTCTATTAGATGTTATATTTTTTACCATTTTTGTCCTTGAGTTTGACGATTTCTTTTTTTCCATTAGTAAGTTTGCGTCTCATTATTTTCATGCTCTTATTATCCTCGATAGTATTAACAATTTTTTCGTTTCTGTGTTTTCTTATGTCTTTTCTGATTTCTCTTGATATTTCCTTATTTAGTTTATTCAAATCACCGTGACTGGCATGTTCGTCGCTTTTCAATTTCCTTCTTTGTTCCATTTTGCGTTGTGTTTCCAAACTGATCTTTTCCTTCTTCAAATTTATTGGGCAACTTGGTCAAAAGGTCAATTTTTTTTTTCAAACTACTTTATATTTATTACTATTTTAATAAAACACACTTTTAGATATTTCAAGTTTAATGAGAGCAGTTATATCTCGACACTAAAAAAAATAATTTGTGAATTCAATAACAATATTGAGGATTATTTCTTGCCACAGATTATTGTAGTAAATTTACCATGGGCAGGCCGAGTAAAGTATAGTAATAGAAACAGTCCATTTATGCATGTCCAAAACAGAAAGAAATGAGACTCACAGTGGCAAATAATAAAATAAACAAAAAGTTATTCATTCATAACTTTAATTAATGTATTTTAGCAAAGTAATTTTGCTTAAAACAAAATCAACGTCGCCACCGCATCTTAAAAGAATCAATTCAGAATCCAGCACATTAGAAATATCAGTTTGCATGGGGAACCACAGAACAAAACAATATATCCATAAACAAACCAGGTTTATTAAAAATTCCCGGTGGGCCGGTGGAAAGATGGGCCGGTGGGCTCAAAAATGATTGTATTAGCAATTGCTTTTAAATATAAACACCAATTTGTAAAATAACTATGGTAAAATGTCTTTCTCTGGGACACTTATAATTTTAATAATCATCTGTTGTTTGTTCGGTTTGAAAATTTTTATTATACAAGGTGAGTCTATAAGTGCAAATATTTTCAGGGCTGGTAGATCTTAATAAAATAAACATAATATATTCTCTTTATCGAGTTTCAAATAAGTCTAATCGAGTTATTAAAGTTTGGAAATTGAAAAAAATAGATTTATTTTTAAAAAAATTGAGCCACCTCAGTTTTTCGGTATTTGTATCTCTTTTAGTGCCGTAATATCAGAGATTAAGAAACTACACCGTGGGAAAATTTGCGGTGAACAGGAAGTTCTAAAAAGTTTTCTAAAATATACAGGAAAATTTGAAAGAAAATGCTCGATTTTTAACATCTTTTTTTGTAAAAAAAAACTCATAGACGAGTTCCTGGGGTCGAAATATATACCACCCCTGAAAATATTTGCACTTATATGACTCACCCTGTATAGTTTTGCCAACTATTCGTTTATTAATATCTAGACTTGCAGCAAAAAAAAGAATGAATAGCATTAGGTAAATTTAAATAGTCTCTGAGAACTGGGGCCCTCGGTGCAATATTTTTCGAGCTCCCCTTTGTAAAAAAAGTAGACGAATTTGACGCGAACTTTGCGGTTGACAGAGAAAACATATCTATACTTGGTTTGAATTGGGGACGGACTGGAAAGCCAAGTCTGAGAACTAAAAGCCAAGTCTAAATTGTTGTTTAAAATGTTGCTAAAATGAATTTGTAAAAAATTACTGAGACAGCAGAGAAGAGTTAAATAGGGTTTAAACTAGATTAGATAATAAAATATTAACATGTCTCGAAAATCCAAATATTCTTATTATGGACTGTAACATGGCATTACATGAGAACACATTTATATCCACTGGCTAGGTATTGCCTAGGTTTGTTTCGTTTGAGTCATGGCATTATCATACAAGATGCCAAATGTAGAAAAGTATAGAGGAAAAGTTTCGTGATAAGAACTATATAATAACCTAAAAAATGCTGCAGTTTTAATGCCGAAAAGCTAAAAGTAATGTATTTCACAGAGGATTGGGTCAGCTGAACCGAATGAATCAGGAAGTCTTATAGTGTTTCAAAATCGTGACTCAAAATCGTAGCTTATTCAAGATCAAATTACCGTTATCGATAATAGAAATAAAGTAGTAGAATCCTGTAAATCTGAGCCATTTTGTAGTAAAAATTCAGATGTCCGACCCAATATTGGTCTTTACGAAAATTTTGATCAAGACAATTTAATTTTTTTTTTAAAAACCGGAGACAAAAGAACTTGTTCGCACGAGCGAAAAACGCCCTTACTTATATATTAATAAATAAAATATGTTTCTTCGTTATGGTCATTTTGTTTTTGTGGATTTGGGCCGGTTGCCTGTTTTTCCCGGGCCGGTTTCCACTTCCCCATCCACTCCTGCAGCCGAGTACTAGGTACTCGGCCATTACCTTTAGCCGAGGACTCGGTACTCGGTCAATTTAAAAAACAGGGCTCGTTACAGCCCTAATATACACCCGATGCCCTGTATACATCGAAATTTTAATCTTTTTTGGTTTTACCTCATTAGGTAACTGTCATCTGGTACTGATTGTTAATTTTAAGTTTAATTTTATGTAATAGCAGTTTATCACAACGTCAACGGATTTAATAGACGCGTTCTCTAAGTAGTTATATCACAGAAAACATATAATTTATAAAGGATCATGCTGGCTTAAGAATGCCTTCAGCCTATGGTGATTTTAAAGTATTGATTAACTAACTTATGTATTTGCCGATTTAATTACCTATTCGTGGAAACAGTACAAAGCCATTAAATACAGAGTGTGAGAATCGAACATAAAATCATCAAACGTCAACATTTTTTAAACCGTTTTCTATTTACAGTTCTAGAAATGAATGTAGGTACATATTAGAAATAGCTCTTGGCAGTATTGCGTTACAGGCAAATAATGAGGTATTTATAGCAGGTATGGCGTTCTTTCGTGTCTATATACACAGAATTTTGCGGTTTTTAGACCATTAAAAAATCTTTGTCTAACTGTATATTGGAAGATATATCCATTATATGGTCTTCAGGTTTTGCTCATATTTCAAATATTTACTTAACTAGTTGAGATATTTAGGAATGATTTTTCCATAGAATTTTATAATATTTTTCTTCTTTTTATTCTAATTAAAGAACATAAAGATTATTTAAGAAAGGGCGATTTTCACAAATCTAAGATTTGTCAGCTTTCATGGGACCCAGGGCACAGAGTAGTCCAAGAAAATAGGCCTTCAAATACGAAGCTTTGGTAAAAACTTGAATATTTTATACAGGGTGATGCCTCTCATACGCCGCAGAGGCTCCAAGGAGAACAACAGTTTATATTGAAATGAAATTTTGTGAGCATATATGTAGGTAACCATTTAAATTACAATAAAAACTACCTAAATTGGAATTTACCCAGTATAGTCTAATATGTAGTTAAATTAACTAATGTACTTTAAATTAAATTAAAACTTGATCCAAAATGTTATACAGGGTGAGACAAAATTAATATTGAACATTGGTCACCTTTAAAAGCACGTTATTCTCTTATTTTTAAATGGAACACTCAGTATATTATTCCGATATTCAACGGAGAATGCATGCCTCTTCAAAATACTATTAAGGTTGCCTACCCCTAGTTAAGGGGTAGGCAGTTACTTTAACATAGCTGTCTAATTAGTCCAACTTTAACAACCAGTTATCATTTTGTGTCAGTTACAGCAAAAAAATTTTTCACAAATTTGCCAAAAATGCAAACTTATCCTATATCAGAGAGAATTGATATGATTCTATTAGTTGATGAATGCAGTGTGCATCACCAATTAGTAGAATACTTAAATGCTCCTGATTTTATCTAGTCTGGTTTTTTATGGGGATATGTTAAAGACAGTGTTTACAAAACTAGATTAACTGTTGTCGACAACATGAGAGAAACTATTGTAGCTGCTTTTCGAGGTAGAACTCCACATATGCCTTTTAAAATGAAAAGATCCTTTGGAAAAGACAATCATTTTATGCAGTTAACAGGAAAGGAAGTATTTTGAGCATTTGATTTCATCTAGCTAATTTTTGTCACATAATTACAGGTTGACCCCTAGATTTTTCAAATAATAAAGATCTACTGACGCAAAATCATAAAAATTAAAATATCTAGGAAAATCTATGTCTGAGGGGTAGGCAACCTTAATAATATTTTGAAGATATATAAATTCCCCATTGAACACCGGAAAAATATACTGGGTGTTCCATTTAAAATAAAGGAGTAACTTGCTTTTAAAAGTGATTCCATATTAATTTTGTCTCCCCCTGTATAACTTTTCGGGTCAAATTTCAATTTGGTTTAACATACAATGATTACTGTAATTAAATATCAGGCTATACAAGGTTAACTAAAATTTATGTAGCTGTTATTAAAATTTAAAATTTACTCTTCATTTTCACAAAATGTGAAATATGTCAAAATCCTTAGATTTTAGGTATAGGCTTCTTTAAAAAAACTCACCTTTATATTTTTCCTAGAATCCGAAAATCAGTTAATATATAGGGTGTTCCATTAAAAAAAACACAACATTGAGGTATAACTTTTTTGGGGACACCCTGTATAATTCTATATATTTTTATAAAATGCTTTCAGTTAAGCTACATAATATGCTGCCAAAATATAATTTCGATACAAACTACCGTTCTCCTTGGAGCTTCCGCGGCGTATGAGAGGCGCCACCCTGTACAGAAAGTTTGAGGCTTCGGTTTTAGCTCACTAAGTAATTGTTAATTTTGAAGTTTAACTTGATGTAATGTCATTTTAACAGAACGTCATCAGTTTTTATAAACCGTATCTGTTAAAAAAAATCTAAAGTGTTCTTAAATTGTTGTATTTAGATATTTTAAATAGATTTGTTCTTTGTTTTTTATGTTTTTTTTGCTTCCGACGACGGGAAGAGAATATACTCCCCGAAACGTCAAGCATAAATAATATTTATTTATATAAAATTTAAACACGTTACGCCACTGTCCGTCCAAGAGCAAATTCGAAACGCATCCTCTTTCACTGATTTCTGACTTTTTTTTATCCCCTTTTCCTAGATAAAAGTCAAGGTGACGAAGCTAAAATCTCTCTCTCTCTCTCTCTTTCACACACACACACTCTCTAAACCTCTCTATTTGTCTAGCCTCTCTATATTTACGAAAAAAGGTACCTCTATACCTCTTCTCGGATTCAATCGGGAAATTTATGAGTTATGACAGTTCGGTGCGGCTCTAAACTGTTTTATTGACCGCAATACCGAGGTTATTCTATCATTAGTTTTGTAGGTCACAAAGGCGACCGAGGCAGTGATCGATGGTTGTTGTAAATTTTCGGTAAAAATGCGGTTTAGTTTTATTGCAGATGGGGAAAAGTTGGTTGTCATGGTGTTGTCTTCTTTTTTTCGTTGGTTTCGGGTGTAGAATAGGTTAAAATATGATGCTAAATAAGAGACTGCGGTTATAATTGTTGTTAGTAGTTGTAAATTTGTCAAAGTTTTGTATTGGAAATCTGGTTTCGACGACCCAGATTTATTTTGAGCAGGTGTTAGTGTAACTTTAAATTAAAGTTGTCATTTTTATTCTCTGGGATTATTTTTGAACTAAATTGTGGTATATTGTGCTTAAAATTGTTGAAAATTGTAAATAAATAAATAAATAAATAAATGCCTTTATTTTTAAAAAATTTTACAATTTGTAGACAAAGGTAAACTAAATAAACAAACAAGGTACACAAACAAACAAACAAAAGATAATACAAAACATTATACAAATAATATTGTCAGTCATATTGTTTAAAATAAACATTTATAAATGTTTGCAATGTCGGAAATGGATATTTTTTTACTCAGTAGTTTTATACAGGTACGAACGAAAAGTTATAACTCTTCAAAAAATTTAAAAATATGTAGGTGGCGCCCTCTACTAGTAGGAGTTAAAGTCCCTAGATATATAAAGTACCGCAATTACCGCCATATTGGCGCCAAAACTGGCGGCAAATTTAAAAAAGAGGCCAACATTTCGCTGTTTCGGCTTTTTAAGCAGCTGGTCGGTCCGGCGCCAACATGGCCGACCAACATTGACAGGCAAGCCGTGAAATAAAATTTTATTAATTGTAATAGAACTACGTTTATTATCTACAGTTTACCTTCATTTTAACGTAATATCAGGTGGTATATTAATATTCAATTTCATAAATTTAATTTTTTAGGCCTATATATGTTAAGAGGTTATAAACGAATGGTTTCCGTACAAGTGTTTTTCATTTATATTAGCATTTATTTTATGTTACCTTTTAGCGCAAAGTACGCCAACAGAAGTAAGTTAATAGGTAAGAAGAAATAAAGTTGGAATAACATTTAGCATTTTAGTACTTAATTCAGTCGAAACAATTGGAAAAACTTTGTTTGTTGATGAGAACGGGATACCTATACGTTAGTTTTGACAAATAAGCATGATTTAACGAAAGTCTTTGGAACTATGAATCTAGGAATAAGCTACAAACTTAAATTTGAAGGCCGGCTTTTATACGAGAATATTTTGAACCATGGTTGAAACAAATAAATGTAATAATTAAATTGATATGATACATACCTGCTATTTTTGAAATATATTAATATATTGATAGAAATATTGTTTCAATTAGTATTACTTCAGGTAGTTTCGGCATTTTAGGTATGTAATTGTGCACTTAATTTAAAAATAACTTAGAAAGAAGCTTGAAACGCATAGGAGCTCTTTATGTATGCTGTATAATTAAGGTTTGTATGTTATGGAGTGATTTTTATACAACAAATTTATTATTAGTTGAATAAAAGCAAGTTAATACCACATAATACAATTAAAATATATTTTACTCTGCAATTTAATGTTATATTTTTAAAATAACAAGTGTCATAATGTTTAAGTATCATTATAATAAAAAAGTTATACTGCTATAAATTTAACATTGAAATAACTGTAATTATTGTTATACATAAATTAAGTAGGCATAATTTTACCTCGGCAATATGTAAAACTTCAAATGAATCTTAACAATTTTATGTCATGTATAATAATCACATTTAAATCACATACTTTTATTTATAACTGACAGTTTAAGACCAAATTTTTAAATATAACTTTACATGCTTACATTAATATTGTTTTGATTAATATCCCTGTTAGTCCTGACTGGTAAAACCACCTGAAGCGATGTCATCCAAATCTATATATGTATCATAACATAACTTATTCTTTTAAATAATTATCCTTCCTTTGGTTTGATGATAATATATTGTAGATTTATCTAAACTTCTTACTGCAAAATGTTGAAAACTAAACTACACTAAACATTTTAGGGAATGATTACGTAGAGGTTTCACTTACACTTAGCATCCTTTTTAAAAGATATGTATGGTAGTTTGGAAGTAAGGTCTTTGTCTTGTTCTAGATTACATTTCTAGAGGTTGATCTCGGCCTGATCTCGGACTGCGACCTTCTCAGATCTATTGTGGTCTTGTTCTATAATGAAGTTTTATGTACCAATAGGTTATACTACAAATAAGATTGTTAAAAATATTCACTGGAGCATAAATAAATTCAATCCACTACCTAACGTGTATTGAATATCGACGATGTTAGAAAACACATCAAATGGCGGCCTTTTCTTGTAATACACATTTCTTCACTAAAGATATCGACGCCTAGACATTATTAACTAATAAATTTGTAGCATTTTAGTGGCTTTATAATTATTTTAAAATATGTGGATAAATCTTTGAATAAGAAGACTAAGGAAGGAGCATAATGCTATCCATGTATTCATGCATGGTGGGCGGAAAAAGCGCCATAAAAGCACTCTAGGGTGGGAATCCTTGACAGTTCTGTTTTACGATTCATTTGACACATTTGAATTTGATTTGAAATTTTGTGGATTTGTCAGTCTTTACGGAGCTTATTTTATGTTATTTATTATTTAGTCTACTATTGATAGTTGTATAAAGGTAGTAAATCTAGATGGAAATTGTGGCAGAACTTAAATTAACAGTGACACTATCGCGATTTATCGAAAAAGACTCTAAAATAGTTGGTTGTGTAGCGTGCGGTAGATCTCGGCAAAAATTGAGTGAAATAATGGAACAACTTTTCGCTAGTAAGTGACTATATAATATACATACGTGTAGTAAACCGATCATTTATGAAATTCACTTAAATTAACTAAATTATATATTTTTCTTGCATTTTAGCTTTTATTTATTACTTGTCAAAGATTAGATGTCAAAGAATTTAGATACGTTAATTTGACTTACCTGCTTCAGTAGCGTATCGGATGTTTGTGGTAATAAATACTTATTATAACTTATCTATTTTTATTAGAATTATATATTTTTATAACAACTACCAACATTTATTCACAACGTAAAATAAAACAACAAATTATTGAGTCTACCCCACGTCTACCCTACATCATAGTTTTACATTTTTTAAATAAAATTAGAACGACACTGATAAACCGGAATTTAAGTCGGCCATATTTGAGGCCCATCGCGGTGTACCTAAGATTTTTTTTTTTTAAACAGTCCTACAGTTACAAAAACAGTTTTTCCGGAAATACCCCAAAAATCTGCCTTTTTGGCGCCAATAACATTGAACAAACCAATTGCGGTACTTTATATAGCTAGGGACTTTAGTAGGAGTCATATTGACATCAAAATCAAATTTCTCATTGTCAAAAAACTCCCAGACACCAATTTTCATCCAAATATTGACGTTACTGCAGAAATTATTTGGAAAAAAATGAAATTTCTACACCCTGTATCTCCGAAACTAAGCATTTTAGGACATACATTTATACGAACTTTTTTACTTATTTTTATCTGGAGAATATGCTGCCAAAGTTTCCGGAAAACAGTTCGGACCACCCTGTATATGTGGCTAATAGATTTAGGTGTGCACGAAGTACAGTGCAGTCGCTTCCTCAAGACAAGTTCATATGCTAGACTTCCAGAAATCTTCGTATGAGAACTTCGAATCGAGATAATCGACCTACTAGCTCTGTTAGCTAGGATCAAAAACAAAGGCATGGTATTAATGTAAAAATTAAGTAAAAATATTAATGTCTTCTTCAAAATCGAATATCTCCAACAAAAATAAAGCTATTGAGATGAACCAAAAAGCAAACTATCGAAAAAGGATGTACCTAGAGGATAAAATGAGGTTTAAATTCCTTGCTGTCTTAACATATTCTACAGGGTGTTTCAAACTTTCACAAAAGTATCACAACTTTGTTCTCCCTCGAATAAATTGACAAATGGGAACTTTCATAAAGAGATACTAAATAGTCAAATAATTTATCTACATATTGCATAAATATCATTAAGTCGAATTAGTTCCATCATTTATAACTAAAGTAGAAGCAATTCTAAAAATTCTACACTCCTTTGAAAGGATATTTACACAGAACTACTCTACAACAAATCGAAAAACAACTTAAAAAATAAAAAAATAAATAAAAAGTCCAACTTGTAAACACTACTCGAACTAAAACCTATAAACTCTTCCCATACGAATAAGGTTTATAAAACCACACGCACCAACGCTCTATAGAGAACTCTAATTAAACAGCTAGGTAAAAAAAACGCGCCACTTTGTACGCGCGTACGTCCAAGTGTATGTAGGCCTTTAATTAGCAGATTGGCGGCTTTTTGCCAACGCTGCCGCTATTTCCACTCGATCATGCATTAACATTTTTACATAAATACTAAGGGATGATGACGGCAACAGGGTGCGGGGGAAGGATGGTTGTACACAGCTAGATAAATAAACTGATGGATTGAATATTTGCAGGGGTGGAGCTGTGGAAATTAACTTAATGAAAAGCTGTCGGCTTTTTTTTGCGGTGTATATGGTGTTGTATGCGTATTTCCGTGTCTCTTGGGGTGTAGAATTGTATATTTATGCGGCGTTGAAAGGTTAATGTCGTGTTAAAGTCGTTCCGTTTATTTGGCTGGTGCTTTATGTACCGTGGGTGATGAAAGTTAGGAGATGGGAAGAAAACGTTTTAATCTGATTGGGAAAAATGAGTATTTTTTCATCAGAAGACTGATTAGGTGTGTCATAATATTACGACTTAATATTTTGTTAACTTAAAAATAAATAACTAGTCTCTTCCTACAACAGGTATTCAGAACTAAGAATATCTGGATACTTTTTGACGTGAAAATATTTTGATTTTGATCGAAAAGAAATGGCTATTATTAAATTTATAATGTACGTTTCATTCAGTTTCCTTTTGTTAGATAAATAAATAAACAAAAAACACTTTGCAGCATTTTAAGCAAAAGCTAAAGTTGCTACAATATTACCTACTACATGAAGTGAGATGAAAACTTAGAATAGTGCTTTAAATTCCAAAAATGCAAAGATTTTAAAACGAACATACAGTATGTCCCCGGATTGTCTTTACAAGAGGAAAAACTTTTTTATTGTTGACATTTTGAGGAAAATGCATTCTTCATAAAAATGTTTGCTTGTTCTTAAAGGGGTTAATCCCGTTTATATTTTTCCAAATTTCCATATCGTTTAGAGAAAATTAATGACACCATGAAAATATGGTTAAATTTTTTCCTAATGTCCTAAAAATTGAAAGGCGTTTCTACGGTAATATCAATGCGATTCGATTCTTTGATAGATGGTTATTGGTTACCTATTATTAATTTTGATTAACGTCATATTCTTTGCTGTAGTTATTTTCCAATAACTATAATCACCCTTTCCTTAGCATTGAACTAAATCAATATTGTGCTTCTTTAATATTTTAAAACACCAAAAAATATGACGTTAATTAAAATTCTATCCAATAACATTTTTAGGTCTTCTTTTAGAACAAGCAAATTTTTTTTATGAAGAATGCATTTTCCTTAAAATATCAGTAATAAAGAAGTGTTTCCTCTTGTAAAGACAATCCAGGGAAATACTGTATACAGGGTGACTCTTATATAAATGCAAATATTTTTAGGGGTAGTATATTTCGACCTTAGAAACATGTCTATGAATTTTTGTTCGCGAATTTTTTTTAATTTTCGAAGTAAAACAATTTGGTTATTTTGGAGTTTGAAATTGATAAAGAGAAAATATGTTTCTTTGACCCTGAAAATATTTGCACTTATTTAAGACTCTCCCCGTATAGAGCGGTATAGTATAGGGTTTAAATCAAAGTTTAGTGAAAAAACGTACAACGTAGTATGTACGAGTAGGTAGGCCTTTAGTTAGAAAATTGCTGTTTTTTGCAAAATATTTTTACATAAATATAATGTAGTACAACGAGAAATAATACAAAAAACAGGTAATGGATTTAAATAATCTGAGGGATTTATTATTTCTGTGAAAAAGTTTTGAAAATTGATTCATTAAAAACTCATGCCTATTTTCATATTTTTGAACCTCCGCCGGTGTAAATTTATAACAAACGTATTCGTTGCAATGTTGAAATATAGAAAAAAAGCTAACTCTAAAAACTCTAAATATTTGTTTGATGCTAAATGTATTGTGGTGAAAAATTAAAATGTGGAAAGATTTTTAACAATATACAAGGTGTCAAAAAATAGTGTGTCTTACTTCAATGCGTGATTCTACAGATAACAATAAAACAAAAAGTCCCTATAAGCATATGCCCTAAAATGCTTTCCGAAGAAGTTACAGCCCTCGAAAGATTAAATAAAAAGAATATGTTTTGTTTAATTTAGGATATAGCGTACTAATGGTGGTACTTCCTTTATCCTAATAGATACACTAATTTCAGTAGATGATAAAAAGCTAGAACTTTTTTACGTAAATAAGGTGCTCTTCGTTTAGTTGGAAACTGTGAACGGTTGTCAAGATTGCGTTAAATTATTATGCATCGATTTTAGTATTAGTGAAATGATAAAATGTTAAGAACTTTAATAGTCATTTTTTATACAAGACGATAAAATGGTATTTTATCGTCGACCGAAAAGATTAATGCAATTTTATCGTCGTGTATAAAACAATATGTTTTTCCATAGCGAGTTACGTTTTAAAAAATATTCAGAAATTATTATGTTAAGGAATTTATTACCAGTAGAAAAAATATTGTGCTGGGTTGGCGTTGGTTTCTATGTAATTTGACAAATAAATAAAGCTGTCTCTTTTGTTGTCAGTTTTGAGTCAACATTTTTTAATTCTCTTTCTCTTGTCAATTTCTGATTGAATTGGAGCCAGAAATGGCTCAAAACGAAATAAGTAAATTACCAACAGATATTCAGGCTGAGGCGACAAACGCCATATCCAAACTACTTCCAATTAAATCCCGAATAACTTATGAAAAGGAATACAAAAATTTTCAAAAATGGAAGCAATTAAAAAACGTACAAGAAGAAATAAAGTTTTTAACCTATCCTCGCTG